CTGGCGGTTCAAATCCACCAGCCACTCCTCGGAAGGAAGGTTGGGCAATCCTACTTCCGTAGTGGTACTGCCTCGGAAACCCAAGGAGGGGTCGCTATGAGTCGGGGCCGACTCGACGGCACATAACAACAACAACAACAACAATGACTTAAAGGTAGTTTTCATTATAAAACCTTTGAGTAAATTCTGCAAAAAAGTTGCTCTTAAATTATGTAAAGCAGATGATTTTTGCTTTATTTTGTCTCATCTAGAAGCATTCTGCTTTGGGTCCCCTTTTAATAGATTTCTACCTGGAGGCCTGATAGTTGTTTACATCTACTTGAGTTCTCCCTAAATTAGGCACCAACAGAGAATTTCTAATGTTTAAATTAATGGCTAATTTGTACTCTTAAAATAGTAGAAAAGGCTTCCAATTTTAAGATAATGAAGGAAAGATATTTCTACCCTCATCTTTTCCCTAAAATTACTTCAAAACCCTCAAAGAAAGCAAGAGAGGAAGCAAATAAACAAAAATAATCATCTCCAATGAGATCTGCATCATAAAGTTGTTTCAATCAGCAAGAAATGCCATCAGCTCATCTTAAGTAAATTAAGAGTCATCTATAACCTCAATCACAATATATGATTTTATAAAGTCACTGGTTGCTGTTCTTAGGTGCCATGAAGTCAACCCCAAACTCATGGCAATCCTCTGCACCGTCGTATGCTTGTGATCCAGGGGGTTTTCACTGGCTGGGTTTGGAGATGTAGATCTCTGGGTCTTTTTCCCAAAGTGAATGGAACTGTAGTAAATTACTTTACAGAACAGGATGACCCTTAAGCATTGGCAAAGTGAGTATGTGGGAATTAAAGAGAAACAATGATTTAAATGAGAGAACTCCAGAAAGGCAGTAGTTCTGCAGAAGGAAGTGTTGTGATGGTAAAGTTTATGTGTCAACTAGGCTAGGCCTTGTTGAGTGGCTCAGCAGCTGGTGGTAGTTATTCCCCATGATGAGACTGGCAATCAACTCCATGGTGGGATCTACCACAAGCAGCTGAGTAGCTGCTTTAGGGAGGTGGTCTACTTTCTGTCTAAAAGAAACAGCTTTGGGAATTGTCTTTACCTTGTGGCACACTTGAACCTGATATACAGCCAAGTTGTTATTCAATAGCCTGCCATGCTCTGCTGATCTTGGGACATTCAGTGGAACTTGAATTAATGGCCTGCCATGTGGTTTAATAACATTGGGACTGTGCCATGTTGTTTGTTGACCTTGGGTTTGTCAGCCTCAGAAGTCAGCAGCTGAGTGAAGATAAGCTTCCAGCTTCAGTGGACCGGGAGCAAGAGGCAGAGCTGAAGTCCAGGGTCAAGGGGCTTTCACCCTTTAAATCTTTGAACTCTGATTTAAAGCCCCCAAACTGTAAGAGAATAAACTCTGTTTGTTAAAGCCATCCCATTTATGGTAGATATTCTTGTCAGAGCAGCATTAGGTAACCAGAACAGGGGTGTGTGTGTGTGTGTGTGTGTGTGTGTGTTTATTTGGGACAGGGTAGTGGTGGGGATAAAAATTGGAGCTTTTGAAAATCTCAATAAAGAGCAATGAAACTCCCACTCCAACTCTCAGATTCCTGATTTCTACCACTTTCCATTTGGAAGGATGCTGGGAAAATGGAACCAGAGAGGTCATGAACTTTGGAACAAGGACAGAAGAGGATAGTGATAAGAGATTAGACTGAAAATGGGAGGATCAAAGGAAAGTCTGAATAAGAAATTATAAGAACCACTGTTTTCTACTTCCAGCAGCTTCAGCATGCTGGCAGGTCCACTTTTTCCACTCCTTGTCCTCAGTGGCACCTGCAGGCAGGAAACTGGGTCATTTTTTTTTTTTTTCCCCTGAAATAACTGACCTGCAAACAATGGTATTTTGGGGTTACCAATGCAAAAAATGCCTGGAACACTGATAGTTTTGCTGTGTTGCCCATGAGACAACATGAAAACACCTTTTTTTATTCCTTCAGTATTAAATATAAATGGAAAATCATGGAACACTAGATATTTGAGAAAATCTGCAACATGAAAGAAAAAAAATGAAATAAACACAGTAGGAGGGAAAAAAAATTAGAAGTTCAATTGAGGAAATTCATCATCAAGCTAATAATAGTTGACAGAAGAGAAAACATAGAAAATAAAGGAAAAAAAAATTACCAAAGAAATAATAAAGGAAAAAATTTCATTATGTGACTTTCTAAGTCTCCAGATTGAAAGGGCTATAAATAATTTAAAAAGACCCATCATTATGAAATTTCACCATTATGAAATTTCAGAATACCTGGATAAAATTTTCCATAGTAAATAAACAGCATAGCTTCAAAAAAAAAAAAAAAGGTTTGAGTGAGAATGTCATTGTATTTCTCAATGGCCATGCTGATATGGAAATAAATGAAGCATTGCCTTCCAAATCTTCAATGAGAATAATTTTCAGCCTAAAAGTCAATATCAAATTTTTATTCAAATATTAGGGTAAAAGGAAAACATTTTCAGAAGGCATTCTGAAAATTTACCCTCTAAACACCCTTTTCCTGAAAGTAATTGGAAGATGTGCTTCACCAAAGAAAACTGAGTATTCTACCTAAAGAGAGGAGTGAAATTCCAAGAGAGAAAAGGAAAGCAAGTTACAAGACCAAAGCTGTTCACAAGCCTAAAGAACAGCTGATGATTTAAAGTATTTGAAAGTTAATGTTATGTATATATATTACTTTGATAAACTATCTTTAAAGTGATATGCTCTATGTGAGTATGTGTGTGGGTGGGTTGGTGGGTGGGTGTGTTTGAAGTGCAGAGGTAAGTGAATGCATTGCGAAGGGTCAGGAAGGTTAGACTGCTAAGAACTGTTTTGTCTGGAAGGGAAAGTTAGGTTGGGGTAGGAGGGGAAGAAAGACTAGTTCGGTACTATGTGGCGGTATTTCTGCTGTCTGAATTTCTTGGTGGTTCTCACAGATGATGTCGTATCTCTATGTGTATTATTCTTGTTGTTATTGTTTTTGGAATTTGAGAGTCTTATTCTCTGTGGAATCTTAACTGTTACAATTCCTTGAAACTTGGTTTGATGCCGAGCTTCCTCAGAAACGGTCTAAGTTTGGCTTGTCCAGTCCCATGGAGGCCCTAGCAATCTGGAAGTACTTTCAATTAATATTTTTCTTTGAGGATTTTTCAGATCAGAGAGGAAGCATGGATTTAGACTATAGAGTCATGA